ACAAAAAAAAAATAAACTATGCCGAACAGATTACGCAACTAACACCTGTACTCAGATTTACCTTAATTTACCTAATAGCTTCACTAGTTGAAAGAGTTGAAGTGAAGTGAAGTGAGGTAGGGCGAGAGAGAGAGACAGATAGAGGGGTACACTTGATTTGAAGAAGAGATTGTGAAATCAATCAATAATAATACTTCAGAGTAAAACCTCTTATGTTGTATGAATAAACTGAAGAGATAACAAGTAGAACTATACTATGCACACACATCACATGTACAACCATTTTACATTAAATCACATATATGATGAGAAATAACTCAATTGCTTTCAACCTATTATATAAATAAATATGAAACTAGTAATAATGTATGTGCTGGTTATATACGAGATTACATAATCATCATTACATCGCATGTAGAGTCAGTCATTGTAGATTAAAGCAAAATGAGTAAATCATGCTTGGAACAGACTAAATGTGAGTCTTGGGATATCGATTAATATGTACCCAATAGTCATCATGTGACAAAGAAAGCTTGGAATGGCATAATTCAGGTCAAAATCCAAAATAAAAACACTTTCATAGATATCCTTCTACCAAACTGCAGTTTATTTTCCCGCATAACTCGTCAATGACGCTGATTGACTCTACATTCACAATCTGTTGTTGCACCATTTCGCTAGACTGTGACCGCTATTGATGGGACTACTGCTACCCGGTTACCTAGGGCAGTAGTAGTCACACGTCTCAATCAGTATACGCTGTTAAAGGCATATCCGATCGATTTACTATAGTTGTGATGTGCGTTGGCTATGCACATATATAAATGCAGATTGATAAGAAGCGGTCAAAAATTCAAATCAACATATTAAGTCAATTGTCGCTGCAGAGGCAGAAGTGTTTATTCCTTAAACCTGAATTTAGTTTACGTTGTGGACAGGAAATAATCTCACTGGACGAGTGGTCGTTCACCAATAACCAACCAAACAAAACAGAACAGTTTATTGTCCGCTGACCTAGCCGACTTTTAATATAGTTAAATATATACAAATATGATGCGTTTTTCCTTATATGTAGTCCGTTATCAATGCTATTATCTATATTGTTTCTGGTACTACGCATATAATTACAGGAAAGATAATTAGATAGTGACAGAATACCTCTGAGTGCAGGCAGCACTGGATGGCACGGGTCCGAAGGTCAGATAAGACATGAGTTCCTACAAGGTTGCAGATACGCCTTGCTGGTTGGTGAGTGCCAACAAACACAAAACCTAGGTGGTCCAAGGCTTCCTGTCGATCGCCGCCGACCATCAGGGTGCAAGCCACCTAGCAAGCTCGTATACCATTCAGTCATTGGGACCCGATTCAATGGCTCATGAATTCTAACTTCTAACAGTTTTTGATTTAGCGCGACCCCGATCAGTGTCGTCGGTGGAACATCCATCCTCACACGTGACATCTGGATGCACCTCACTGGTCACGACTTCTCACTAGAACTCACCCCAGGAAACTCCATCCTGTAGCAAGTGGTCACTAGCGAGCATCAGTGGGTCCGTACTGCCGATGATTCCCAAAACACTAGGATGAAACAGCTTTCCAGTACTCCCTGCAGGTTTTCAATGGTTCTCTGTTACTGATATCAATCCGTGATCAACTCGTAAAATATTATAATTGTTTTATAATTGTAAGAACCTGAAGAAGAGAAATTATTGTGAAATGAATATTCTTCGTTCAGATTGACTTTTAATTTACACTATTATTACCTTTATTTCTAACATGCGTTTTTCTCCACCCACATACAGAGATGAGAAATAACATTGAACAAAAGGTAATCTGATACAACAGAGCATGAAAATTTTTCATAATCAAATGATAAAAACACATATGCCCTACAGAGATGAGAGAGATAAATGTGGAATGATTATTTATATAGCCATAAAACAAAAATTGGCATATAGTATGGAATAATCCAACAACGGCTAGCTAGCTAGAGAGGTGTACCTTTTATTTTCTCTCACCCTATATATCGTTATTTTCACATTGATATCACATCTCGCATTTCCAACCACACACACAAACAAGTTCACTCGCACTGTGCTTTAGGATAAGAAATACACGAGTTCTAACTACGTTGACTTAGTGTACTTATCCTTCTTAAAAGTCAAGTTCACGGAAAACGGTTAACTGAACCACCAGGTCACTGACCCAGTAGTCAGTTCCACATAAAGAAAACCATATTTAGTGAAATTTAAAGGTGATCAGGCTTCAGATATACGCTCAAAAATCAGTCATAGTAAGACGTTCTTTGCTGCAAAATTACAGGTGACCAATCTTCACCAGACGTAAGTTGTTCTCCATCTGTCTCTGGAAAAGATAAGCTCCCCCTTCGTCTGGCCACTTCCATGTGCATCATCTATCAGTTCACCTGCTCTTGTGCAGCAAGATACACTGCCTGTAGCCAGACAACGCTTTCCACACGCGCATACGAGAACATAGTCAAGCATGATTTTACAAAGGAGAAAGGAAGGTTGTGAGAAACTCTATTGCAGAGCAACACTTGATCAACGTGTGTCATTCCACATTAATCCTGCCAATGATTTTAAGATCATCCTATCGAATTTATGCTAACTGGTCGCGTTTTCTTCATTTTAAACTTCTAAAGACATCGGAGGACTTGACCATTCATCATGAATTTAAGCCAAACACCTTTGTGTACTTCACTACTCTCAAGTCTGTGTGGAGTTCAACAGCACTCAACATCAAAAATAAGATCCCATTTTTCAACTCCAATGTGAAGTCAGTCAGTGCTACTTACTATACGCATCAGAGACTTGCACTGCGCGTCATAAAGAGCATCTCAAACAAACTACAGACCTTCATCAACAGCTGTCTTCTCTCAATACCACTCAAGATCAGATGGCCGGCCAGAAAAGATCAGCAATAGAGATCTCTGGCAATGAGCGAACCAACCAGGAACCGATTGTGAAACAAATGTGCAGGAAGAAATGGAGATGGATTGGAGGCCATACTCTGAGGAAACCATCAAGTGACATCACTAGACAGGCCATCACTCGAGTGGAAACCGAAAGGGAAGTGGTGAGTTGGTCGTCATTGTAAGTGTGAAGAGGAGATGAAAACATGTGGGCAGACTTGGAGCCAGGTGAAGACTCTAGCAGAGAACCGAACGCAATGGAGACGCACGGCTGAAGCCCTATGTTCCTCTAGGAATTAAAGGAAACAATAATAATAATGATATACCTTTGTGTACAATCCTTATTTCCGGAATTAGGAAGGGGGTAAACATTTATTTGTTTATTTTGATCATTATTACTATTCTCACTTTAACCTATTCCCACTTGTCATCGTAAATAAAAAAAAACAACCTTTTTGCAGTGCTAAATTCTATCTTGTTAAATTTCACACCATGTTATGTAACGTGTTTTATTTTATTGGCCTAATAATTGTATAATTTTACGCCCCCTTCCTATGAATTATTCTACATGTATGACATTATTTGTTTTGACACTTGACATTTAACTGTGGTTATAATCACAAACATTTTAGTTTTAATTGCATTTCATACTACTATTATTTCATGTATTCACACCTATTTTTCAGTTTCCCCACAGGATCTATGACTGCGAAGCCTGATAATAAATTCGTTGTTGAAAAGAGTCTCTTCGTTGAATATTGTATTTCTAAGGCTTAGTTTGTAGGGACTTGATTTGTTTCAAGTTTGACCACGGACTGATATGAGTTAGATAACCACTAGAAGCCACTAACGAAGTACTGGTGTGGGTGTTTCGTCCCACTTTAGGACTCTTCATCGGTTTGATTTTATTATTCCTAGTCATAAAGACAAAAGATAACAAGATAGATAGATAGATAGCAGGAAACCAAATGCAGTGAAGGTGTGCCTTAATGTTCCCCCAGAGGGAACGCAAGGGACGATACCTCTGTACAAAAACGACGAAACTGTAAAAACAGCTGCCACAATGATTCTATGCCATTATTGATTATGACATACAAAACTACACAACTTATCATTTCGTGATATTACACGACAATTTTTAGAAAATCAAGACTAGAAACCTCAATAAACATCATGATAATGTGAAATATTGATGAAAAACTGAAAACGAAAAGGGGATACAACCGAAACAATGACGAATGGATATGCAGTCACAAATTGATGAAAACAAACAAACAAATAAATAAACAAAAATGACACTTTTGATGCTCGTCACTCCTGTAAAAATGCAATTTAAATGTAAGAAAAAAATTCAAAATCATACATCACATTATTATAAACTCAAAGACAAAGTATCAAACCAGTAGGAAAAGTTGTCCGGCTCCTGTTGACAGACATGTCAGCTCCTTGTGCGGATGCTTCGACGATGTCTGAGGATTAATTAACTTGAAGTAATTTGGTGGAAAGTGACTAGTAATGGTGGAATACATCAAGATGAGCATTTCGTCCAATGTGGGACTCGTCAACTGATGGGTGTACTACCTGCATTCCTCAGTCAGTAAGCGAGTGATGGCGTTGCCCCCCCCCCCACTGAGGCTCGAACCCAGTACTCACCATTTTATTAAACGCCAAAGCACCAGCGACTAGACCACTTGGGCCAACGAGAGCCATCCCACGCTTTGTGCATCGGGTCTAGTAGATAGTAGATAGCGCTCTGACGTTTGGTGAAAGGATAGGTACTGGGTTCGATCCTCAGTGTGAGTAACACCATCACTCACTGGGGAATGCAGGTGTACATACATACAACAGCTGACTGGTGAGTCCCAAATAGGACGAAATGAGCATCCTGGTGGACACCACCACTGCTAGTCACTATCTACCAAATTACTTCAGTAGGAAAAAAGGTTTGAACATATTGATTTTGTGAAAAACATATCATCACAGCCAAAAGTAAAACACTCCTGAATATGCATGGAAAAGCACGACTGGTACATTTACATAGAAACAAAACAAGAAAGGGACGCCATACCTGCATAATCATCCAATTCTCCGTCGTCTTCACTTTCAAAGCGTACACTACCATCATTTAGAGAATAACGACTTGTAGCAATCCGTGGTTCCTCTCTAAATATTGAAGAAGGAAAAACAGACCTTTATATGATTATGAGTGGTAATAAATTGTGCTCGAAATGTCATCAATCAGTAAATATTACTACATAACACACTGTGTGACTTTATCAAAATAAATTTTATCCATAATAGAATTAATACTCTACCATAGTGCCGAAGTTTTATCCTTATATCAGAAACGAAACACAAATATACAGACGCGTCAATGAAAATCTTCTTAGAAAAAATTATAACGCACTGATAAGAAATGGTGATCATACAACTCTATACACTAAATCAAGGTTACTATATTTATATTTCACATACAAAAGGAGTACACAATGCCGTCTACTGAAAAAGCACACCACGACGGTGGGGCATCAGTCGAGTGGGACCCAAATGGGGAACGATGAGTGGGGCGTGTGTACGAGGGCGACATATCAGTTGAAGATGAGAGACTATGGGTGATCGTGTAGCCAGGTATAAAGGACCGCAGAGGATAGAACCAAATGGAAGTGTGCTGTCGAAGCCCTCTATGTTCTATTCGGAGGTCAAGGGGACAATAATAATAATAATACGATGGTGGGCCTCCTGCAACCTGTTGAACATACTGTAAATTTTATTTTATTTTTTATTTTATCATAGCCTGACTCCACACAGTATTTTTGGTACAAGTATGGAATTTTCAGCATGTGATATTGGTAGCCCAAATTTAGCAGGCTAACAAGTGATATCAGGTGGCCGGGGATCGAAACCCGGACCATATGAATAGTCGGCGAGCGTCCTAACCACTGTGGCACCGACGCACACTCGATTCACATAACTCAGTCAGTTTTAGGGCCTAGACACATGGCATTAGTTACGATTCAGTGCAGAATTTGTTCGCTGTAACGCTTATTTATAACATAACAGGTACTGTGCTTCCTCATCAGTGTTTAATTCCAGAAGCATTCAACGCCTTCTAAGTCGACTAACTCATTTGAAATCAAGGCTTTCATTGTGTTATCGAACTCCGTACACAAAACTACATCATTTATTCGTCAATATCACCTAAAGAGTATGTATGGAAACTGATTTCCAGTGTAAATGATTTGAAGAAGCTACCTGCTAAGAGATGGCAATCTCTATCCGGAAGACTAATGCTTATGTAATGTGATGATAAATAAATCTGAAAGAGAAAGACATTTCGTACTGTATTACACATTTAAAAAGAGAAAAAACAAACAAGAAGAGTTCAGCAGAAAGCTGACCTACCACTTGAACCAGTTTTAGATATTTGAAAATTCCTATTCAGTCATAGAAAAGAAAAGGCGTTCTGCAAAGAGTTACTCTTTTCAGCGATATCATTCTCAAGCTGTACAAACCGCAAATTTATAGTAATTTCTCTTGGCAACAAAACGAATATTTCCAAAGATGCAATTGTTAATTTTTGACAACAAATTACGTAATTTAGAAGGCGTTAATAGGTTAGAAACTAAAATAAAGTTACAAAAGTAGGTTGAGTGACGTAATCTAACTGCTAGGGTTCAATGAAAAATGAATCAGAGTCAATTAATAATCTGAGTAGAATTCACTTGAAAATGGATGAGAGTTAAGTTGATAAGCTGAGTAGAATTCACTTAAAAATAAACGAAAATGGAGTTAGCAACAGTCGTCATGAGGGTAGAGATTTAATAGAGGGTGGGGGTAGAAAATAATGCAATTAAGAAACAGACAAACAAAGAAGAAAGAGGTAAGACAAAATTACGTATTTGGTGTTGAGATATAGATTTAGTGACTAAACAAACTTCTTTTGTATGCAGAGTTCAGGATTCAATATGTGAATTGCCATTGCTTCTGCAGTTTGAAGAAGTTTAATTCGTACTCTTTTGGCAAGATTCCCACGTCTTGTGTAGATAACTGAGAAGTTGTTTTGTGGGTTTGTTTGGTGTCCGGATTCGATCAAGTGTTCTAGGATAGAGCTGTGGCGGGGGATCTTCTATCTCCTTTATAAAACCATGAAGGTAAGTGTTCGCTGATTCGTTTAGATAGCAAACGCTGGGTACGGCCGACATACCTAGCTCAACATGAGCAGGTGAATTGGTAGATGCACATTGATGAGGCCCCCAGTGGAAGCTTATCCTTCACGTTCGTGCGAGTCATTGGTTTCGTAGAGAAAGTTAGTCTGAGTTCAGCTGCGAAGAAGGTTTTCTTCAGTGAGCGGCACAGGCGGTTTCTCAGTATTTCTGCTGAAGAATCTCCTTTGAACTGTAGATTCAAATGGAGAAGTTTCTTGGGAGCAGTAAGCATGGACGGTTTTTGTGTTTTGGGCTTCATGGCTTTTGTGATGAAACGTTCCGGGTAACCGTTTTCAAGGAGGATTCTTTTCAGGGTCTTCAGCTCCTCTTCTATGGTTTCCGGACTGCAAATGTTTTAGATATGTCGAGGTCATTATACCCTCCAACAACATTTCGGCCATCCTACGTGTCTGGGGCTCTTAAAACTAACTGTTAAAGATTTCATGGACTGATTCCAAGTTTTGGATCGACCGCCTCAAACTCTTTTCCAACTTGATCGATCCTATGTCAGATAACATTCTCCATCGAGGAAGGCGATGGATAGGCGCATGCACACAACACATGTCCTAGCCAGCCATCTCAATCGATACACACCTACACAAATGAGCCTTTTGTATCCCATATGCTGAGATTTCGCCAGCAATCAGTCGTCCATTGCAGCTGATCCAACTTCCCAAATTCGTGAAGTGGTCAACACACTACTGAGGAGTCTCAAAAAAGGACGAAATGCATCTCATGAAGAAATAATAAGCCTTCAAAATAATTCATTGCATATGATACAGCATAGAAAAAAATGTCACTGACATTATAGTAATAGTCACAGTACAGCCTACTACTCCCCACCCCGTCTGTGATAAGCTGGATCAAATAAGCACATGAGCATGTACACACACACACACACACAAGCATACACCTCTAAATACCGAAAAAGTGAATCAATACATAGATAATACTAGTGATAATAGGCATAACAATTGTAATTAATCGTCTTAATGAGGCTTAAAAACAAAATAAACAGCTTAACACTTTTTTTTAAGTAGTGCGTAAAGCTAAATAAAGCCAGAGTAAGCGATCAAGGTAAAAAGTTCAAAGATCTCAAATTTTATTTATCATTATTATATTCATACGCATTTTATTTTTGGCACCAATGTAACATCAATCACCATAACATAAAACATAATTAATAATAATAATAACAATAATGAAGAATGTGATTTCTAAATACAAAGAGTTAAGATATTCTATAACCTGTATTTTTAATATATTTGTGCGTTGAAAACTCAGCGAGGCTGCTAGCTTATTATCATCAATGATATTCCTAATTGTGGTGGACTGGATTATGCGTCACACAGTGAGAAACGAGAAGACAGGGATATCCTGGACCCACATGAAGAACCTAGAAGACCTGTCACACAAAATCGAAGACTTATAAGCGAAAACCGACAAACTGGTCGAAGAAGCAGCCAGAGAAGACAGCACTCCAGGTGAACATAGACAAGAAGGAGGTTATGAAAATAACCAAACAACAACAACAGCATCAGCAACATCCAGCGCCAATCACCATCAACGGGAGGGATTTGAAAGAGATTACTTCATTCAATTGTCTAGGGAGCATTGTCTCAAGTACAGGAGGAACGGACTGACGAGGATGTCAAATCAAGAATCGAGAAGGCGAGAAACACATTCACCAACCTCAAACCAATCTGGAAATCTTCGTCACTCAGCATCAACAACAAAGTGATTCGGATTTTCAATACAAACGTCAAGTCTGTCAGTTCTTCTATACGTACGGATGAGAAACTTGGCGGATCACAAAGAATATTTCCAACAGCCTGTTGCAGACCTTTATCAACAGCTGTCTTCGCTCTATACTGAAGATCAGATGGCCGCCAGAAAGAATCACCAACAAGAAACAAACTATGGGAACGAACAAAACAAGAATCAATCGCCCAAGAAATTTGCAGGATAAAGTGGAGATGGATGTCAATTAGAGAATTATTATTGAAAACCAAGGAGTAATAGACAACTGTTTCTCATCCTAGAGTTAGTTTGTCATGGCCAGTGGGGGCCAACACCAGGCTGTACGTGAGGGAAAAAATACTCGCTAGCGATGACGTTGGCTGGTGCTAGTTAGAATTCATGGTTTAGCCACTGATTTAGAGGGGAAAGGCAGCTCCCAGTGGCTGATTGGTCTATGAACTAGTCTTTTTTACCTGGAACATCCTGGATTTGAACTCCAGTAAGTGAGTGTGCTCGTGAAGAGTCCTAAACCGGGACGAAACAGTTGTCCAGTACACTCCTTGGTTGGTTGGCTTTCAGTAGTGGTGTTCACCAACTTCAAAATAATTGTCTTCATTATGAGGCTCCTATTTATTTGTCGCTTAATAGTTTAACTTCGCCCTAGTTTGAATGCTATTCCAAAAAGGTAATTGATCACACCCCACCATAACAAAGACTTTATCTGAATTACACTAACGTTATTAAGACAGGCATATTATTAGACCAATAAAAAATAAACTGGAATGAATATGTCTTAAATTTAGTACACACTAAAAGCCTTTTATATTTTGATATAGTTTAGCTTAGCAACATGTGGTCATGTAAACGAACCTTAGATAGTGTAGTGTAGTCTCTCTCCATGATAGGAGTTATTTTATGTGAACTTTGTCATAACCTTGATAAGAGAGAGAGAGAGAGCATGACGCACTCTCTCAGAACTGGAGATTGTTTATTATCATAAAAGCGTACTCATCCAAGATTAGCTTAGCTACAATGTGTGAGAATGACTCATACATTCTTAAATTCAGCACTATTTTTTTATACATTAGACATGAGATTGAAGACTACAATATTGTTGGATTTATTTGCACTCTGTGATTAATATTCATTCATTCATTTATTCAAATGTATGCTACAAGTACAATAGTGATTAGTTCAAGTTAACAAGTCTTGAGAAAG